ATCAAAACAATGAGATATATTAAACCCAATATGTGTTCTAACAGACTTAAGTTCTTCTTTATCTGATACTTGGTTATTTCTCTGCTTATTTTGGTTGTTTGTTGCTTAATCCAAAGAATGAGAGTTTTGGTTTGACTTGTGTCAAAGGCTTTCTCTTGGTTAGATATTTCCTTCCTTAGCTTTTAATTTGTGCTTTAGGATAGTCACTTCATCTCTTCCCCCTTCTTAAATTTCAAAATCTTCTCCCTTTTACAAAATCTTATTGTTTTCAAACTTGAACCACTTTCCTAATAAACCTTGACTTTTTTTAAGTGATTTATAAACTCTTTTCTTGAATAAATTCTAATCAATCTTAAGCATATCAAGACCATTTTCAAAAGACATAAAAAATACTTAACTCATTCAAATCATTTTGTGCCCTTTGTGCACTTTTCCTTTTAATTTTTTCTTAAGGTTTAGACATGAGTCATTTTCATATTTGAGATGTAATCCTCCTATCCCCATAGTGATGTTTAATGTTGACTCTTTTCCATTTGAGAGAGCTAGTGGCATATTTGTTGATTTCAATTCAAGTTGGAGCTCTTCTCAATAGTGATGCAAATGTCCATTTTCATACACTTGTGGGTGACTAGTTGAATTTTCTTCATAAAATTACTACTTGTCTTGCCATTTAAAATCAATCAAACAAATCTCTTTTGTTATTTTAACCACGAACTATGAGGTCTTGATCCTCAATTACACTTTGTGGGCACGTAGGCACGAGGCTCAGGAAGTCTTGTCAAACACCAAAAACTTAAAAAATATTTATCTTCTCATCCCTCCAATCTTTTTTCAAACAACCTATTTTTAAAGCCAAATATAGATTTTCAAGAGGTTCCTATAGAGTACTACATATATTTTGTGTGCTAACACCTTTCCATTGCATAACCAACCGCCTTACCCTTGTCTCTGTTTTTATTAGTTTTGTTTTAAAACTTATTTGGGTTTTATTCGTTCTTTTCTCCATTTCTTTGGAAAAATAAAAGTGCGGTAGCGACTCTTATTTTATGAATTAAGTTAATCAATGACTTAATCTAAAATTTTCCTGCTACAGATGCTCATGTAAAGACAACATTTAAACATAAGGGATGAGATATCACAATTATATAGAGGAAAACATGATAATAAGTGAGCATCATATTATCACACACACAATCACTCATTCCACCCACACACTTCCACACCATCAACACAATAATCATTTACACATAATAACAATGCAACTAACACGTTATGCAATGAGACCCAACAACTCGAATCAATGCATGTGGTACCAATATGTGAACTCTCAAGTTCACTGCTCCAATCCCCACCTAGGACCAGAGCGCACAAATTCGTTACCATCACCTCCAATAACGCTTCACTAATTCCAACACCACCAAACTCAACTACTCGCACCCAATCCCCACCTAGGATTGAGGCTCACCAAAAACGGACCACCGTCCAACACCATGAATGCATGCAACATAAAACATGCAATGGCAACACCAATGCACAATGATCATCACCATAGTTAATGTACCTCGCCAATACTAGTCGCCATGCACCAGACTCATGCTATAACAACTCAACAACATCAACATACAGTATAGCAAGCAACAACAATGCATTTACAAATATGTCACACCACAACATAAGCACTACAATGCATTTAACACCATCAACACAACAAATTATTTATTTTCAGGTACTAAAACCAATTTTAGAATAAAGTTCATTGCGTCAGTTTCCTAACACTTTGAACAACACCCAAATCAGACATCCAGAACTCAAGATATGATTTTTCAAAGATTTTTAAAAATTGCTCCTAGTGTAACTGGTTATACCAATTGAGATAACCAGTTACACCCCTTGTAACCAGTCACTGCCACGCAAAACACACTCAGTGTAACGAATTACCACATTCTAGGTAACCGATTACACATTCACAATTTTTCCCAGAGACGCCTTTTAAAAGCAGGGTAACTGGTTACACCATTTCTGGTAACCAATTACATTGTACGCAGAGGCATTTTTTTGCAACTTTTCCAAGCGAAAATCACTTTTAATCCACCCCAAAACTCCATTTTCCTTACAATTTGTTCACTACATTATTTTATACCAAAATCAGTTTTCAAAACATCAGAACCCTAATTCTTTCCACCAAAAACACTCATAACATAAGTTCCTACTCTAACTCGCACCACCATCAACAACACAACATCTACATCACACAATCTCATTAACTACACAGTTCCAACAACAACAACACAACAATTTAGCAATCAAACATCAATCACAACATTATCATACCACTCATAATTCATCAATCAATTATTATTCCAACAACTACAAAATTACAACAATGATCATGATATAGAGAGAAGAGAAACACAACATGCATATTTATAATCTATCCACCATCATCATACAAACCCTTAGATAATAGGAACCCCACAATTACCTTAGAGTTCCTGTTAAAGTTTCTTCAACCTTTAGCAATGGGGATTTTTCCTAACTTCTCCTTCCTTGAGCCCTAGTCTCCTCTTTTCACTTTTCTCCAACTTTCACTATCTGACACTTTCTATCCCTCTCTCCCTTATTTATTTATTACATTGTTATTATTATTACTAATTTACTCAATATTCCAATTAAATAAAATAATAATAATAATCTTCAATATTTATTTTAATTAAATAATATCCACCTAATATTATATAATTAACTAAATATTAACGAATATAATTTAATTAGTCTTACTCACCACATCACCAAGTTCTACGCTATTACTCACACACCCCTAACATCTTAAATTCTATTCTTAAGGTCACTACCCCACAACTAAGGGCATCTCAAAAACACCAAAACACCAATCAATACATAAAATTACACAACATCGCATAATTTAATTATGAAAAATAAATAAATAAAACTGAGGTGTTATAGTTAACACCGCTGTGCGATCTTAAAAACCTTTTTATAAACAAAATATATTTTGTCTTAAGATGATGCAAAACAATGCTTCATCTACAATCGCTGGGTTGAGATAAATGACGTTTTTTCGTGAATGTTGATTTGTAAATTCATTCAATGTGATACAAATGTCGTTCCTCACCTGTTTTGGGTAAACAATATTTTTCGCCGATTAATACAAGATAAATTTCGCTTAAATTGACCAACAAACAAATATTTTCTATTCAGAATTACGTAAGCCTTGAATTCTCTCTTGCACCTGGAGATAAGTAGGAGCAGGATTAAAAAATCTTGTCAGACCTCCGAATAATAAAAACCCTTTTTAGGTCCTTCAATAAAAAATCTAAAAACATTTCTCTTTTCTCTCTTTTTCTCTCCCGAACAACTAGAAGATTACAAACTAACATAACCTAACATTCGTACAACACTAACTAAATGGTTTCCGTTGAGTACAACAAACGTGAGGGGTGCTAATACCTTCCCCTTGCGTAACCGACTCCCAAGCCCTTATTTGGTTGTGACGACCATAATCGCAGTCTTTCTTTTAGGAATTTTATCGATATTTTCCATTTTTCTCTATGGGAATAAATAAAGATTAGTGGCAACTCTGTCAAGTTCATCCTGCGAGCGTGCGATTGCGCTTTGCGAGTTTGTGTTCTCATTTTTTAAGGTGCGACGCTCTGATTCTGATTTCATTGGTTGTAAAATGGTTTGGAAAAGTACCAGCGGTACGTGTCACTTACTTGAAAACTCATTTGTCTCCTGACATAGTAAGAAACAAACAATTGTAGTATTATCCACAGTTGAGGCATAATACATTGCTTCATTCTAGATGTATGTTGACTTAAATTATAGTCAATGAAACTTATTGTTCCATTCTAGATGTAGATTGACTTAAATTATACTCAAATGTTTTACTTCTTTAAAAACTCTTCACATATAAATAAATTTGAAATCAACATCTAATATCACATACCCATAATATAGAAGTAAACAATTCGACTTTGTATAACTAAATGTGTAAGGAAGAAGTTTTACTTCTTTATTCTATTTTGACTCTTTTGATAACTATTATATTCTTATTTAAACACATAAAATGACTATCTTCTTTTTAACACCATATTTGTCTATCCAAATTCAAAGGAACATAAAATAAATTTCATTTTATTATTATTCATTTACTAAACATCACAAACTATTTCTCTTTCTTTTCAACAAGCTTTAGTAGATACACCCACTGATAAACCCAGTGAACCACTCTTTGATTCATCGGGAAATTCATTCTTTCCAAATCTTTTAAAGTGGTGTGCAAATGTCTTAGTAATGGTAAGAAATGAATAACATGTTACTTTATCCTTTCCACAACTATTGATCCAATTAAGCATTTTTATTGATTAAAAAAATGAATAAATGAAAGAGAGAAAATAATATTTTTATTAAAGCATATTTTATCAAATATTGAGAATAATAAAAATAATATTAATTAAAAGATAAAATTAAAAAATATGCATTAAAAATTAAAATAAATCATTTATTTTATAACACTTTTATTTCAAATAATTAACTCAATCGAAAGAGTAGAATATTAAAGAGCCAAACATATTTTGGGAGAGGCAAGTTATAAACACTTATCCAAAAAATTAGGTTAAGGGATGACTTATTCACATATGAGGAGAAAAAAACCTATTCTTCACCTTATCGCAAGCAAGTGCAATACTTGAGGAATACTATATTGGAAATTATGGAAGGGGGTTTGAGATAATTTAATAAGTGGAAAGTGGTGGTGAATATTTTAATTTTTGTTTGAAAGCAACTAGATTTGTTAACTGGAAAGTGCAAACCGGGATGAATACATACAGTTGTTGAGACTCTAGCTATTTGGTACCGGCAGTAGTGTCGTAATAGTAAACAATCGCATCGCATCGCCTAATCGAGAAGAAGGAAACAATCGCGTCGCATAGATCGAGAATAAGGAAAGAAAACAATCGCAAATTGATTTCCAAAATACAATGTCCTCCTTAATTTCCCATCTTCTCACCGTCTCGCTTCTTCTAACCATCTCTTTATCCCAAAGGTGATTAAATTCATTCACTTTTGTTCAATTTTGCAATAAATATATAATAATGTGTGTTCATTTTGCAATAGCAGCAGGAAAGAACTAAGGAACAAAGATGAACGAAATTCTGTTTATTATTCCAACAGAATTGATCCCTCACGCGTTCTACAAATCTCCTGGCATCCAAGGTCAGGTACTTTATTCAACATTCACTTTTTCTTCAACAGAATTTCATCATGTTTTCTTCTTCCTTTTTCTCTAGGTTATTTCTTTACAAAGGCTTCCTATCACATAACGAGTGTGACTACCTTATTTCTTTGGTAATTCTGCACTCTCATCACTGCTTTCCATTTTTATTCTTCAAATGTCATATTTATAAGAGTCAATTTATTTTTTAAATTTATTGAAAAATTAATGTATCTGATTTAATAGTAAGATCATGTAGGTTGATTATTTAATAAATTTGAAAAGTAAGCCGTTCAATTTTACGGAATTGTCATTCAATTTTACTTTATTGTTTTTGCTAAGGCACGTTCTCTAAAAGATAAATCATTGGCATATGCTTCCCCCGCACATGAAGATGATATTGTCAAGAGGATTGAAGAAAGACTTTCAGTTTGGACTTTCCTTCCTAAAGGTATTTATTTCATTCATCGCCCCAATATCTCTCTGCCATACAAACTTTAACCACATGTAAACTTGTTGTTTCTCGATAATTATTTCCACTAGAGAACAGCAAGCCTTTAAGAATAATGCAATATGGGCTTGGGAAGTTTACTCAGAACATGGATTATTTCACAAACAAAACCGATTTGGATTTGGAATTAACAGCACCTTTGATGGCAACAATTGTTCTATATCTCTCTGATTCTACTCAAGGGGGTCAAATTATCTTTCCCGAATCAGTGGTAAGTAATATTGACTCAGTTTGTCTTTTATTTTGCACCTCTCTTTGCTATTTAATCGTGTTGAATGTATTCCTCTACAGACCAAGAGTAGGAGCTGGTCAAATTGTAGAAATACTAGTAACATTCTCCAACCAGTAAAAGGGAATGCAGTTCTGTTTTTCTCTCTTAACCTAAATACATCGCCTGACAAAAGTAGCTTCCACGCCCGATGCCCTGTCCTTAAAGGTGATATGTGGTCTGCAGTTAAATTCTTCTATGCAAAATCAGTTAATGGAGGGGAAATCTCAACCACACCAGATGTAGATGAATGTACTGATGAGGATGATAATTGTCCCGCTTGGGCGGCAACGGGAGAATGTCAAGGAAACCCCGTCTTCATGGTTGGATCTCCTGATTACTATGGTACATGTAGGAAAAGCTGTAATGCGTGCTGATTACAAGTTTCCACACAAAAAAAGTATGACGTTTTTGCTTTTTAAATTGATTAGAGAATAGGAATTTTAGTTGAGTTTAACTAGTTTTCTTATGATATTCCATATTTAACTAGTCATTATACCATTTGCATTTGAGAAGTGTACATGTGGAGTTGTGCATTTCTTAGAAGTTGCTGCCTTCTGAGTTGTATATCAAAATGTATGTGAGGCGATGAATCAAGCTATAGTTTGAACTCAATTCAGCGTTAAATCTTTGAATTTGGTTCATATACTAAATGAGTTGAATTTGAAGGAAAAATTAAACTCAGTTAATTAAATGAATTGAATTTGAATTATTTATAGTTTGATTTGTTTTATTCAAGAATTGATTTGATTAAAATTTGTATTTTTTAAAGTATATAATAGGTTGAATTTAACTTTTTTTTTTTTATAAAAAAAAAGTAAGTAATTTCAAAATTTTATGAAATTTTATAGAATTATTAGTTTGACAGTTAAATTGGTAAAATTTAATATTTAAAAAACCCTAATATGTGCAGTAGGGGTAAAGTTATTTCTATTCACAGAGAAATTAAATTCTATCAATTTAAACTGTTAAATGTTTTTTTTTGTTAGCAATAAGATATTTTTGGATTAAGTTGAAACAAAACTGTTACCTCTCATTCAAATATTCTCGACTCAATTGTTTCGTGTAATAAATTTTTATACTTAATATTTTATTTGTACAAATATTCTTGACTCAATTGTTAAATGGTGTAATAAATTTTTATACTTAATATTTTATGTTGTTTTCGGATTTAAAAAATTGAGTTTGGCACAAGGAAATTATCGGGACGAGTCGCGTACTAAGTCGCTTTCTTTAAGACGTTTCGCCGTACTGCCAAATTATGCAAAGCAGTCGATTTACGACGACGCCTCAAGGATAAAACATCTCGTTCTTAAAACTTACGATTATCAGTTGCACACTGATAAATCGCTCTAGAAATACACCTTTTTAAATTAGTATCTAGCGCAAATAACCAGTCAAGAAAAGAAAAAATTGTAAGATGAAGAGAATAAAGGGAGAGAAGAAGGAAATCAAAATTCGTGTGAATTTGTGAAATCCGATGTGCTCACTACTGAATTTCTACCCTGTATTTATAGGCAGCTAGTAAGGCTTAATTTCCATTCCCTTCAATGTGGGACTAAATTGAATCTTAATTTTCATTCCCTTCAATGTGGGACTAAAATGAATCTTAATTTCCATTCCCTTCAATGTGAGACTAAAATGAATCTTAATTTTCATTCCCTTCAATGTGAGACTAAAAATGAATCTTTTCAAATTCACTTCTATATTAGTTCTTACTTGTGTTCATTTATTGCTCATTAATTGTCAACAAATGTTTCCAATTCCCACTCTAATCAATTAAAGTTCCAACATTCCCCCACTTGAATTTAAAATTTAAAAGAGATTTTAGAAGTACGTCAGACGTTTCTAAGGTTGGTTGAGCATAAGCAAAGGTGTCTACGACTTGAACCTTAGCGTAGCGAGTAGGATTCTGATTCAACAAGAGTGACACCATTGTCTTGAACTCTATCTCGGACATCAGACCCGCACACAACCTTTCCGTAAGGTGTATTCTTGTAGCCCGTGCTTTAGTGGCCCTGCACGTGTATCCCGGTTTAGTGAATGCTCTAGGAATTCTGCCTCGAAATTCCATAGGAACCGGCCTCAGTTCCACAGTCACATAGGTGAATCTATCAAGAGTACTCCTGTAGCCTAGGTACTCCCTCATACAGAGTATAGATCTCATTAAGAGTTTCTATTATCTCATCCTCTCATTACTTCAGGATTCATGCTTTACTTGCATGATCATTTTCATATTGCTCACAACTTGTTATTACCCATTGAACCTAAGTCTTGGGATCTCCAGTCATTTAGGTCGGGTTACCATCATGAGTAACAAATTGCTTTATAGGCATTAGTCCCATCTTTTTGGAAGTATTATGGACTTTCTCTCTAGCTAATCCTTTCGTCAAAGGATCTGCTAAGTTCTCATCAGTGCATACATGATCCACTCTCACAGCTCCTTTAGAGATACAGTCTCTAACAGTGCTATGTTTTCTTCTAATTTGACGTCTTTTACCATTATAATAACGGTTCTCAACTTTTGCAATAGCCGCGGTACTATCGCAGTGGATCAACACAGCTGGTATAAGTTTTTCCCATAAAGGAATCTCAGCTAGCAAGCATCTTAACCAACTTGCTTCTTCACTAGCTGTAGCTAATGCTATCATCTCAGACTCCATTGTGGACTGTGCCAGAATGGTCTTTTCTTTGATTTCCAAGATACAGCTCCTCCGGCTATACTAAATATATAACCACTAGTAGCTTTGGAATCATCCGATAAGGTGTTCCAATCTGCATCACTATACCCTTCTAGTACAGCAGGAAATTTCTGATAGTGTAGGCCGAGGTCCATAGTCCTTTTAAGGTACCTCATTACTCGCTCAATAGCTTGCCAATGTTCGTTACTCGGCCTACTTGTAAATCTGCACAACAATCCTACGACATATGCAATGTCGGGTCTAGTACAATCAGTGGCATACCTAAGACTGCCAATCATGCTCGCATATTCTGCTTGTTTGACACTTTCTCCAGTGTTCTTAAACAGTTTCACACTTGGATCATACGGAGTGCATGCAGGTTTACAATCAAAGTATTTATATTTCTTTAAGATCTTTTCCACATAGTGAGATTGATCCAAAGAAATTCCTTGGTCGGATCTCGTGATCTTGATACCCAGGATCACGCTTGCTTCTCCGAGGTCTTTCATATCAAAGTTATTGCATAACAATGATTTCATATCATTAATGGCCTGAATGTTTGATCCAAATATAAGTAGATCGTCTACATATAGACATATGATAGTACAAATGCGATTCTCAGATTTGTAATAAACGCACTTGTCACTCTCATTCACTTTGTACCCATTAATTATCATTAAGTTATCAAACTTTTCATGCCATTGTTTAGGAGCTTGTTTTAGTCCATACAGAGACTTATCTAACTTACAGACCTTGCTTTCTTGTCCTTGGATTACAAACCCTTCTGGTTGTTCCATATAGATTTCTTCTTCTAAGTCACCGTTTAAAAAGGTTGTTTTAACATCCATTTGGTGTACTATTAAGTTATAAATGGCTGCTATTGAAATGAGTACCCTAATGGATGTAATTCTAGTGACCGGAGAAAAGGTGTCGAAGAAATCTATGTTTTCTCTTTGTCTAAAACCCTTGGCTACAAGGTGAGCCTTGTATTTCTCAATCGTTCCATCAGGTTTTAGTTTCTTTTTCAAAACCCATTTACAACCAATTGGTTTGCAACCCGGGGGTAAGTCTACTAAGTGCCAGGTCTTGTTAGATTCTAGAGAATCTATCTCATCATTAATGGCTTCTTGCCATAAGTCTGCATCCATAGATGACAGTGCTTCTTGAAGATTTATTGGATCTTCTTCTACATTATAGGCCGCATAATCGGGCCCATAGTCTTTAGCAACTCTTGCTCTTTTACTTCTTCGAAGTTCTGTTTCTACATTGTCGCTGCTTTCAGTGCTTTTTATCACAGGAATGTGACTCGATTGTGTGCCCCCACTATTTCTCGATTTGAAAGGAAATTTGTCTTCAAAGAATTCAACATCGTTTGATTCTATAATTACTCTGGCATTTAGGTCATAAAACCTGTATGCCTTACTGTTTGCTGCATACCCAATGAATACGCATTCATAGGCTCTACTAGTGAGTTTAACTCGTTTCGGATCCGGAATTCTGACATAAGCCAGACAGCCCCAAGTTCTTAAATAAGACAAATTTGGTTGTCTTTTCTTTAATATCTCATAAGGTGAGATCTTACTTTTTGACTTGGGAACTTTATTCAGGACATAGCAAACAATCAATAAAATTTCCCCCCACCAGTGAGGTGCAGCACCAGAATTCAGCATGATTGCAACTACAAGTTCAGTAAGAGTCCTATTCTTTCTTTCTGCTTTACCATTCATTTCAGGAGAGTATGGAGCAGTCGTTTCATGAATAATACCATGTTCAGCATAAAAATCATTAAACAAGCTAGAGTTATATTCGGTTCCCCTATCACTGCGAAGTCTCTTAATCTTCTTGTTAAATTGATTCTCAATTTCAGTTACATACACCTTAAACATGTCAAGCGCTTCACTTTTATTCTTCATTAGATAGACATAAGTATAATCAGAGCAATCGTCAATAAAAGTGATAAAATAACGTTTATTATTTCTAGTTAAACTTCCATCTAATTCACATATATCAGAGTGTATAAGATCCAGGGGGTCAGATTCTTTTATAATTGACTTATGTGAAGTTTTTGTTATTTTAGCTTGACTGCAAAATTCACATTTATTGGAATCATTAACATTTAGTTTATGGATTAGGCCTATGTTGCTTGCATTAGAAAGGATTCGTTTATTAATGTGACAAAGTCTACCATGCCAAATATTAAAGTCACACACAAAGTAAACAGAAGGAGAAATTTTATTCAAATCAACATTCAACTTAAACATGCCATCAGTGGCGTACCCTTTTCCAACAAAAATACCATTCTTAGTGATGGTGTACAAATCTGCCCCTAAAGTTTGACTAAACCCAGCCTTATTCAAAAGAAAACCAGAAACAAGATTCTTCCTAATTTCAGGAACATGCATGACGTCCTTCAAGATCAAAGTCTTTCCTGAAGTGAACTTCAGCTCAACATCTCCAATTCCAGCAACATTAGTGGTGTGAGCATCTCCCAACAACACTTTCTTATCTTCAGTATTCATGTATGTCTTGAACATAACACGATCATAGCAGACATGACGAGTGGCGCCAGTGTCTATCCACCAACCATCACTTCCACCAACCATGTTGATTTCAGTGATCATGGCAATGAGTTGCTCATCAGTCAGGTTGACCTGAGCATTTGAGTCAGCTGCAGGTTTAGGCCCGCTCCTACATTT